AAAGTCAGTCGTAGTAAGACGGAATACATGTGTATGAACGAGAGGGAGGGAAGTGGAACAGTGAGGTTACAGGGGGCTGAGGTCAAGAAGGTGCAGGAGTTTAAGTATTTGGGGTCAACAGTCCAGTGTGACAGGGAGTGTGGGAAAGAGGTGAAGAGGTGAGTGCAGGCAGGTTGGAGTGGGTGGAGAAAGGTGTGAGGAGTGTTGTGTGACAGAAGAGTGTCAGCAAGAATCCAAGGAAAGGTGTACAAGACAGTAGTGAGACCAGCTATGCTGTATGGGTTAGAGACTGTAGCAGTGAGGAAAAGACAAGAGGCAGAGATGGAGGTAGCAGAGATGAGGATGTTGAGGTTCTCTTTAGGAGTGACCAGGATGGACAGGATTAGGAATGAGCACATCAGAGGGACAGCTCAGGTCGGCTGTTTTAGGGACAAGGTCAGAGATGTGCAAAGGAGGGATAGTGGTTATATTGGTAGAAGGATGTTGGAGATGGAGCTGCCAGGCAAGAGGTCAAGAGGAAGGCCAAAGAGGAGATATATGGATGTGCTAAAAGAGGACATGAAGTTAACTGGGGTGAGAGTAGAGGATGCCGAGGATAGAGTTAGGTGGAAACAGATGATTCGCTGTGGCGACCCCTAACGGGAACAGCCGAAAGAAGAAGAAGAAGAAGACATTTTTTATTATCAACAACAGATGTTTTGTCAGGGAAATAACTCATCTTCTTGTCTCTGCTGCTGTATAGTGATTTGTTAATGTATAATGATGTGCATGAGGTGGTGGGAGGCCTGATGTGTCAGAGGCTTGCAATGAAGTCTAGTCACCTTTCTGTGCATGTGTATGTGTGTGCAGCATAATGATATCACCATGTCCTAGACTGTACTCAGGGGAAATCTATGGTGTCTCATGGGATCATTTATCACAAAGGTTATCTCTGCCTTGTTAACCTCTGTTTGTGTGTGTGTGTCCTGGCTTTTGTTCATTGTACACCTTCTTCCCTAGAATAATTACATTTTTTCTTCTTTCCCCTGATGCGCTGCCCTTCTGATTATTCTCTGTAACTGCTCTTTTATACACATCTTTCCTCATTAATCTCTTTTTTCTTCACTCTTTTACTTTCTCCTTCTCTTTCTTACTCCTCTCCTTCACCACCAGATGTGGGCCAGACTGTTTGCCATGGTCCCCCAGAGCTGGCAGGCCAGCTACTTGCGGAGGTCGGAATGCAACTGCGAGCAGACTGCCACCAAGGCCTGGGCTACTGGGACTACCTCTTCTTCATTGCCATCGGATTCATCATCTTCTCAGCTGGCACGGTTTCGGCTTGGGTGATGGGTGTGCTCATGGTGCTATATGAGCGCTACAGCAAGCAGAAGAACGAGCAGCTGAGCAGCGATGATGAGGATGAGAGGGGAGGGATGGGCAGAGGTGGGGTAGGAGAAGCAGGAGGAGGAGGAGGAGGAGGAGGGAACCAGGGGAATGGGGATCTGAGCAAGCCCAGCATGCAAGTGTGACAGACTGATGTAAAACAACATCATGAGAACAGGGGGAGAGAGGAACCAGAAGTGATGAGAAGACTCTGAGACCAAAGGCTGCACAATCAACCAAGATCTGACTGTCTCTGTTACATATTTAGATATGTTTAGAAATATTCAACACATTGGACAGAATGTGTGTGCGTGAGTGAGTCTGTGAGAGAGAAAGAGAGAGAGACAGAGATAGCAATAAGGATGGCTATGCCTTTACTTTAGGAGTATAGAATGATCTCTAAGATTATTGAGAGCAATAACCCATCATAACACACACACACACACACACACACTAACAAACACACATGCCCATTTCAGCACAGATACTCTGGTTTATCTGAATGTACCTGCATACTATATGAGTACTTTTGAGTAAAAACCCTGTTAAGGATAATTATAAGAACTTGCTATGAGCAACACGTTCAAACACACACATACAGTACATCCTTTCCAAATACTTAAGAAGGTGTTGGTGGTTGCAAACAGAGTGATACCTTATCTCTGCTGCACAAGGGAAGCCTAGTAAATAACAGTATTAAAATGTGATTTTCCTGAATGCCTTAAGGCAACTTGCTTGAAATCGTGGTGTCTATTGTCTCATAATAGACAGAATAGGTTTAGAAAGCACAAAAGTGCAGTTTGGGGTCATAACATCTCTATAACAAAATAATGTAAAAGTAAAAACTAAACTATAGTTCACAAAAATTGAATGCATTTTACCAAGATGTTTGGGGCTTTGGTGGCGCAAGTGAGCTGCTTGTGGGATTCATTGGTTAGTTTGAAGTTCAAAAGCACCCTGTGGAGTTTTTGACTATGGAGCAATGTTTTAGTGAGTAGGTCACCATTTTGTATGTACTGTATTTGATGCATACATGACACAGTGACAATATGCTATTATACTGACTGACGGAGGGGATGATTCACTAAGAAGCAATGTTCACTTATGTATGCACAAATTGAAAACACACACAAAAATATGATGTTTGGTGTAGTCAGAGGTGAAACAGACTAAACCTTCATCAACAGAGGGCAGAGAAACACAGCATTTCAACTTGGTGTTTAGTTACTTTTAAAGGTCCTCAGCCTATAGAAGAGTTCTACCTATAGCAACACTACATGACTGTGTCTTATCTTTTGTGTGGTGTATGTCAGTTTATCTTCATGTTTCTGTGTGTATATGCAAGCAACTGTGCAGTAGTTCCTTGCTCTAGTCTGTGTGGTCACCATCCTAGAAGTGGGGCAGGCTTATGGTGGCTGCACATGAAGACAGCATCAGGGTGATTGAGTCAGGGGTATAGCTAAAAGTGATTCTACACTATGTCACTGGAAGCCTCACTTGGATGACCTCATGTTACACTTGTGCACATAGAGGCCACGCTCTATAGGCCAGCTGTCAGTGTGGAACTAAGTCTATGGAGTAGTAGCATGCGTGTTCATATATGGTATACATGAGTGTGTGTATTTAAGTGGGGCAGAGCAATTATGGAACATCTCTGTAAGCAGCAGAGATGGGTGATTCATCAGCCCATGCTGATCTAAACCCAACCTCCTGCATCCTGACCTGCTTCCGCCCTGTCCATCACAGGACGGATGGGCGGTTAGAGATGATAAATGAGAAACTTTGGTTAGAGGTCACCGTCAGAACCAGGAATTCATCCCGATTGATGTACTTATTGCTTGAAAGGCAGAGTGTCTCCAAATGCTCCGGATGAATGGGTATGGTTGAATGATAACCCTCCAGAGTGTTTGGCAGAGTGTCTGTGTGTGTGTCACTGTGTGTTTGTGCATACCCTACTGTAATGATAATATATCTTTATGTGGATGCAAAAGCATAACAGCAGTTCTTTTACTACAGGAGAGTAATTTGTAGTCAAAATGTGTCACACAGCAGCCTGCTGAAGCACATCTAAACAATGACACGCCTGTACTCAAACACCAGAATCTGCTCACTCACACATACACACACAGACACACACACACATAAGATTCGCCAACATGCACAATAAATCTAAAGAGCACAGCTGAAGTCAGAGCCTGCAGGCCAGAGAACATTTTGGTCCCTCTTGCCATGCATTGCTGCATCACCTTATCCTCTTCACCATCCTCAATCTGACCCTGTCATCAGCTCTCACATAATGTTGGTACACACACCTGCTGGACCTATAATTTATCTGCTAAATCTCTAGGCTGTCATTATTATATCATTTGTTCAAAGACATACAGGCTTTAAAGGAGACAGCTGCTGTAAATCCTTTTGTTACGTCACTTTCATTTGACCTACAAGAGTGTGACCTATCAGGTGCAAACCTAAACACAAAACTTCCTGTTTGGAACAAGCAGCTGTTTTATTTAGCTGAATGTCCATTTTATGCTGCTGACAAATATAGAGCTGTTCAGCAAACAGAAAATATTGGTCTTTTACCAGTAGTAGGTCAGAGGAATGGGGAGTCAGTGTGCCAAAAGGATGAGAGTCCTGTGTGTACATCATTCTCACCTGCATGGCTCACAGCACTCCACCCTCCCACTTTTTCCATTTCAGTTGTGCTTCCAACTGTTCAACCAGGCTGTAATCTATCACACAGCCATCAAAACTCCGCCTGCTAGATCTTACAATGTTTGAGCTCCTTAAAGCTTCCTATGATGGAGACAGGAAGGACTGCATACATACAGATGAACCCATAGACAGAAAAGGTGACTCAAAGGCTTGTAGAGAAACAAACAAAAATGGAAAATGTATACAGCACTAGAAACACAAAACCCCGGAAGCACAACCACATATTGTGTTCATATAACCATTACTTTGTGTGTGTGGGTAGGTGTGTGCTTGCGTTTGTCTGCTCAGTCTGATCCTGTTATTTCTTTGAGGGCAATGTTAGAGCATGAGCATGAAACACAGAGACTATCTAATGAAATAGGTCAATAATACATCCCATCATTCCACACAGACACACACACACACACACACACACACACAGCATAAAACTGTGTTCCTGGGATGAAGAATGAACGTTTTCTTCTTTGTGGGTACTTCCAGTTGAACCAGTTCATGTCTGTAGATTTTCCTTTACATCCTCTGTGCTCACCAGTGACAGCAGGCCTGCAGTGGACACCATTGCAGCAGAGATCACGCTCTTGTATCGTTTGTCTTATATTTGTCAGATAGAAGCAGCACAGGCCAAAAATGAAAATGAACATCTGGTTATGGATAACTTTCAGCATGACCTCACTCTGACAGCTTATACACACACAAACACACTTTCTAGCATAACAGCCTTTCAGATAACATTGTGTTATCTGCAGGCAGCTTTCAGCAGGGTTCCCTCAGCTTGTTTGCCCTTGATGGCAAAAAGAGGAACCTGAGGGAAATGTATTACCATTTATCAGCTATAGAACTGTCAATTATAAATAATATAAATTTATAGTTGTCAGTTAAGTTATCAGACTTAACATGGAATTCATATATTTTCAAAATTGGCCCTAATTTTAAAAAGTGTAGCCATTATTGCTATTGTGTCAGCTAAGATGTTAACTAATGTAATGACTAACTTAGCACATGCTACTTCCATTGTGAAAGTTCAGGAAGTGTGACAAAACAACATGGCCCAAACATGGGAATAAATCCCAGGCTGAAAAATCCTGTCTTCTTTTAACAGTGAGCAGTCTACCAAAGCAAAAGTGTAGACATTGAGCTTACTGTGAAACATAAAACAGGCCAGTCAGTAGGTAGCTATACTAAAAAAGAGAAAAATAATAAGGATAAGGATAATCACCTTTATTGGCCAAGTATGTTACACATAAGGAATTTGTTTCCGGTACAGAACCAAGGCAGCCATCTGCGGCGCCAACTCAACCGATGGCTCTAAAAGTCATTAAGACTGATGTCCATCCTAGAAAAGCTAACATAGTAAGATTACACTTTGAAGTGAAGACAGTATTTCTATGATTCTATATTTATTGCTGCAAAAATCTGCAAATGAGCCAGATCTAGTTGTAGTTCTTGTTCAAGCTTTACACTGGTTTAAACAGCTTGGACTGATTGGTTGCTGTATTACAAACAGTACAGACAGTGACAGAAAGTGACAAGCAAGCACCCTTTCTAACTTGCCCAGATTGTGACTGGTAGAATAAGACAAGGTCACAAGGTGGCTAGAGACAGATGTTTTATGCGAACATGAGGCACTTTGTATACATTAGAAACGTGTACACTCACACAGACAAACAAAAATAAACACCACACTGATCAGCAATGTTAAGTTTATATTATATACTGTAGGGCCTACACACACACCTGCCCGCAAACACATATACAGTCTGTCAACAATCACTGACCTATAATCTTGGTTGTCTTACTTACATCAGCTCTCCTTTCTTGAGTCTCTCATCTATGGCATTACACTGCCACCCACACAATGAACACACTCAGACTATTATTGTATAAATATACACAGAACCTGCTTCTGTATGACCAGCAGTTTTGGCTATTTAATTTTGCAGTAACTTATATTAAGTAACATTTTATCTTTAACTATGATTAAAATGACAGACTGATGTTTAACCAATGAGTGTGGTTTCGTTCTATATGAAAAGTGTGTTTTCTTTGGATCTTCACTGTGTTTTGTGTGTCCTACAGTGAAGTGGAAAAGTACACCTACAATGTCAGCACAATGTGTGGATGGAGGGATGTGGGGTAGGATGACTGAGGGCTGATTGATTTAACCTCTGCACCAATGCCTTGGCACGGGAGATCGGAAAGGAGTGGGGGGTGGGGGGACTACATAATGCTGCACCTGCATCATGTCAACCCCAGTGTTCTTCCACTTTTCTTCTCTTTTAGTGTCTTTCAGTCTCCTTAGTTCTTTGTTATTTTCCCACCTCCGTGGCCCCAGTGTTTGCTCTTGTTTTTTTTACCCCATCCCCCCCTTTCTCCTTTGCATTACCTCCCATCCTTATCACTTCTCTTTTTTAAGGATAAGGATAAGCACCTTTATTGGCCATGTATGTGTTACATCCGTGGCCCAGACCACCCCCAGCACCTCATCTACTGGCACAGGCTGTCACAGTAACTCCGCCCACGCACAGGTGGGAAGGCATTCTAGGTGGCAGGGCACAGCTGCTCTCAATTACCAGACTAGTACTTAAGGGGAGCGTTGGTGTGCCCTCATTGCCAGATGATCTCTTGTATTCCTGCTTTGCTGGTAACCTGTCTTTGCTCTCATCACAAGGATTCCCTATGTATGAACTGTTTTCTATGTTGTTGGACTTGATTTCAGGTAGTAATGAACTGAATGCCCTTATTTTTTGAAGGGTCGCTTTCTGTTTGAACTGTTTTTGCTGTGGACTAGTGTTAAAGAACAGAGTACCCTCTGCTTGTTGGTTGCAGCCATTTTGTATTGGCACCATTTGGTGCCTGGATTATGAACTGTTTCTTTAGGTGACACTCCTCAGGATGAGGAGACCAACTCTTGCTGGGACTGGTTGCCTGGCTCTGGATCCCAACTGTCAGCCGCCCTCACACCATCCTGCTGCCTGCTCTACCGTCTGCTGCGAGCCTGATCCTCACCATCTACTGCACACCGGACCAGTGATCTCCTGTGCCAGCTCCTACGCCTCCCCTGGACTATGTTCTATGCCTACGGCCTCACCTGCCTTGAGCCAGTAAATTCTGCTACTCAGGTCCTCATAACTATCAGTATTGCCATAATCTTAGCGTCACTGTTACTCATTCTCATCCTCTGCTTTTCTTTAGCCAGTTGCGCCTCTCCTACAGCCTTGGGTTGTATCTCTAGCAGTCCAGTCAACCCAGCACTCCCCGCTGCCCTGAGATCAGCTGACGAGACCGGTTCTGACCACTCCTCATTTCTGTAGTTATTAAAATACATTTACCTGGCCAAGCCTGAGTCCGAGTTCTGCCTTTTTCTAAGTAGCACATATTACGGTTCACTGTAACAGTATGTTGCACACAAGGAATTTGTTTCCTGTACAGAATCGATGGCAGCCATCTGCGGCGCCAACTCAACCGATGGGGCAACTTCAACCTTCTGGTTGGGAGATGACTGCTCTACCCACCGCACCACTGTTGACAGGAACAGTAGTCTTACTATCAACCTCACCTGTCAGGTTTGGTCATATGCTGCAGTGGAGCCATCTTCACTTGGCATTTGCCATAAAAACCAGCTTAGGGAGATAGTGACACAGGAGGCGAGTGTATCCATATGCTGCACATTATGTGGGTGAGAAGGTTCAGCCTGGCAACCCTGATAATGTTGTAAAGTGTGTGTGTGTGTGTGTGTGTGCGCTGCAGCTCCACTTGGTTAGCGGTGTGTCAGTGTATCTGTGGGCTTTCTAAGACCAGACCTGGCACACTGATGCCATTATGCCAGGTCTGGTCTCTGCTGCCTGCTCAAAGGAGCCTCAGTCGATTCCTGACAGCTCAGTGTGTCACCAGGTCACATGCACACACGGAGGCAGAAAAACAAGGACAAGGAACTCCTCCAGTCAACTCAGTTGTGTTCCTCTCTTATGTGTAACAACTTAAATACAGTAACAATGAGACATGGAGTGTGGCTTGTTTGAGCAAATACACCACTTTTGGGCCAGTCCTCGAACTGTACTTTAGCTCAGATATGTTCTCAGAATATCTGGTGTGAGCGGCTCTGAGTTGATTGCACAGCATCTCTGTTGGGTCGAGGCCTGGGTTCTGACTGTGCCGCTCCAAAAGGTGGATTTTCTTTGAAGTCATTCTGTAGTACATTTACTTATCTGTTAGGTCATTGTCCTGCTGCAGCCAGTGTTGTAGTTGAGTCACTAAACCACAAGGGTTGAGTCTCAAGAAGTCCACTTTACCAAAGATTAGCCCAAGGTGAGTCCCTATTCCTGGGTCTGAGTCAAGATATACATTAAACACAACTGATACAGCTCTCACCATTTTTAAAAGGAGTTTACTTGCAGTGTGTAATATAATAGCCAAACGCACTTATGCAATTGTAAGTGCACACACACACATGCATTACCTAGAAGTGAACAGTGTGAAATAATTTATAGAAAGGCAGAGCGTGCTCTTTGGAAGTGTGCCAGATAGAGCATGAGTCAAAGTGTTTGCCATATGTGTAGCAGATGAATATGCAGTGTGAACATTCTCAAAACCTTACAGTGCATATTATTTTATTTTGGGGTGTTAATGTCCACTTCTATTGTTGAGATCTCCATGTAATGCATTCAGTTCTTTGTTTCATGTCATATTGTTCAATATTTTTGCATAGATGTGTTGCCTTGAATGGTTTTGTTGGTCAGGAGCTTTTATTTTGAAGGCCATTGCCCCGTTATGTAGTTTCCTGTTTTTTCGCGGTCCTCCTCAGTTACTGTGGAAAGCTGAGGAGAGGTGAGGTGTATACTGTGTTCTCGTAATTTTAAGTGTTTTATTTCCATAAAAAAAGAAAAACCCATACTTTACTGTTCAGACTGTTATGGTACAGAGTTATTGTTCTCTTTTGCATTGTTGCTAAGTGTGTGAAAATCGTTCTGTCCTGTGTGAAGTACACCACTTTATTAACGTGCAAACTAGCGCTGGTTGCAATGTTTTAGCTAGGTTGAAACGCATCGAAGGTCTCACATGGAGTCTGTTGTCACCTTTTTTTTGCCCTTCAGATGTGCAACAGGGAGACCCAATAAGTGGCTGTACTGGTTCAATTGTGTTTCACACAGGTAATAAGAGGGTTTTATTTGTATTATCATTTTGATTTATTTAACACACTCTCAGTTACTGTGGAAAGCTGAGGAGAGATGTGCAACAGGGAGACCCAATAAGTAGATGTACTGATTCAATTGTGTTTCACACAGAAAATAAACT